TACTCAACCATTATCGAACGGTGATATATTTAAACAGCTTTTAAAATCAAATAAAATTGTGACCTATAGATGTTCCACAAGCTAAAAACCAAGGCCCATAGGAAGTTACTGTTTTTAGTGTAATTTCTAATCAGTTATGTTCGGTGAAATACGCCAGAAGTCTCAATCGAATGACAATCTCTACACTGATAGCATTTATTGCGCAAGCTCTCCGGATAAGAATATGGCGCCACTGTTTGACATGAATTGTGGAATGTCTAGTCCCTTGTTACAAATGGCGCTGAAACGCACAGTGTTACATATTAGATATCAGAAGTCCATCAATGTTGAATTAAACTGACAAATTATTCGTGTTTTCAATGTCAAAGATTTTGTATGATACTCAGTTAAGAGACTTAACTACGTTAAATGTTCACTATGTCTAAAATTTCTGACACTATGATCCCACTGTGACCATGGGATCGCTCTCATGTGTCCGCCATTTTATTATCCCACTTGTAGCAACAACAATTTTTGAACGCCCAGTCAGATGTGATTTAACAATGCTTATTTTGTATATTCTATTCGCTTTTAATACTATTAACTAAGATCTGTACATGTAGATTTATATTTGTAGTGCACATATTTTAATATTAAGTCAATATTCTGTCATTTATTGAAAGAAGCACTCGACTAATGTCTGGCGCTGTTCACGATCTTCGACCTATCGTCTATGTCAGATTTGTTTATTATATGCATAATTAGTAATAGTTTATATGACAATTGTTGTCTTCTGCTGTCATACAAGATTCTAAATAGGTTGTTTGTTGATAAGGATTAATTGTGATATTAGACGGTATTTTATTTATCCTGAAGTTATATGTAAAGACAAGCTATGAAAGCCATGCGTTTTATGATTAAGGGGAGACAACTCTTTTATGACTAGCAATTATTTGCCCATTGACTTCAATGTTAAATGGCTGTAACATCACAGGCTGTAGCTCTTTGCTCAACATTCCGTTGGTTCCAATCTTTATAGGCACAATGGGGACCACATCTGGCCATCTCTTCATCATAATTTTGTAGGGGGTTGACCGTTTAGATTTAAAATTTCGGTTGTAACTTAGTTTAAGTTTTCGTGAATAAGGGCCCAGGTTACCGCGGTGTGCCTATCGTATAGTTACGTGTTGAGTGTAATTCTCAATATTTAATTGAATCCCTAAATAGTCAATTAATTATTAATACTATAATGGTGTTAGGCTTTTGACATTATGTACATGTAAATATCACAGGGTTTTCAAGTGCCATACAGGGACATGAGGCATCTGCAGCAATTAATGTTTGTCAACCCTCCTTCACATTGTTGGATTATGTAAATATTTGTTAACAAATTAAGGGTTTTGGATGGCCGAGTGGGCTTTGGATCGGAGGGTCTGTCAATGACTCAGGTGGCATGTTCTGAATCCTGCACTTGTATGTGGCAGGATTGGGGTCATCTGCCAATGTGGCCCAGATAATGTTGAGTGGTCGTTTCCCCGATCTGTCTTATCAACTTGATGTAACAAATTTATTAACGTTGCCTGTTTTGTATTTTCAGGGTTGTTTCCTCCACTCTTTTTTTCTCTGTGATTAATTTTGTAGAAATTAAAGCTTATTGACAAGAATTACAACATGTTTTTTTATTGTTAATTCACCCTTTGTCACATTTATATTGAATCACTTCTAATCACTTATCGAGATCAAGTGTAGACAGACATACACAAACATTGATGTCATAATTTACAATGTAAGAAATAAATAAAAAACAGTAAATAACACAATTCAATTTGATATAAAAGTGATAGAATCGCCTAGATGTTGGTCAAACATAAAATGTTTGGAATTGACTGAATTTTATGTGTGAAATAGCTTTATTTAACGTCCGCTTCCACCGAGGTGATATCGCAGACAATAACTGAATTTTATTTGTGGGGTGTCTTAAGAGTAGACTCGGTCAACTAGGTCCGAATATTTTCATCTCAAAGGCATTACTATGGTGGCCTATCGTTATCATTCAGGATTTAACAAAATGTCTTTATAAACCTAAATAAAATGAAATGAAAATGAAAAGCAAAATCAAAATCAAAAGTAAATTAAAAGTAAAAGTTCAACCAAAAGCAAAAGTTAAATCAAAACTAAAAATTAAATCAAAAGCAAAAATAAAAACAAAAGTAAAAGTAAAACCAAAATGTAAATAAAAATAAAAACACAAATGAAAACTAAAATCATTTTTAAAAGTAATTTGAAAAGTTCAACCAAAAGCTAAAATCAAAAGCAAAAATAAAAATAAAAGTAAAACCAAAATGTAAATTAAAATCAAAACACAAATGAAAACTAAAATCATTTTTAAAAGTAATTTGAAAAGTTCAACCAAAAGCAAAAGTTAAATCAAAACTAAAAATTAAATCAAAAGCAAAAATAAAAATAAAAGTAAAACCAAAATGTAAATTAAAATCAAAACACAAATGAAAACTAAAATCATTTTTAAAAGTAATTTGAAATGTAAAACAAAAGTAAAAGTAAAAAGCAAAATAAAAATATTTGTCGGCCTATCGCTATCATTCAACTTTTTTTCACGCAAAAGTAAAATAAAAATATTTGGTCGGCCTATCGCTATCATTCAACGTCCTTGATTCCCAATCGGTAACCGTCGGCTATTTCCGAACGCTTCGACTCGACGGTTTGTTCTCCCGCGGTACAAATAAAACTGAATCAGAACAGTATTTTCTTATGGAATGCAAAAAAGTATAAAGATTTGCAATAATCTCTTCAATCCATCAAGCATCATTGTCCCGATCAGTGTTGAAGAATTTGTGATTTATATGTCTACATAATATTAATTATATTACCCGTATCTATTTTAAGCGGGTTTTGGATGATATTGAGTTAGAGACTTAGCTACTTTAAATCGAAGTTTGTCTCGCCAAAATGGCAAGACACGGAGGCATTCATTTTGAATATGACGTCAAACTTTCAGCTGCCTGGATTAGGGGGTTCGGTTCTTGACGCCGTATCTTGTCACATTGTTTGCCCAACGTGAGCGTCGGAGTGCTTCTTCTCTCCGACGAAAAACCGAGGTCCCGTGTACATATTTGCGTGCACGTAAAAGATCCCTTGGCAGTTGGAATTCGATATAAGAGTAGGCCGTAGCGCCGCTGTCCGGGCAAAATTTCCCTCATAGCACACTGTATGGCGTAGCCTATAGATGTCCGTCTTCATTCGCCCAGTTTAGAAGCAGAACAGCAGGTCGTTAAACCCCATTTCATTTCATTTCATTTCTTCTCTCCGAAAAAAACTCATAGCGACAACCTGGCCTTGGGTATAGCTACGTCTCGAGGGCCACCCATCGAAAGGCGGTGGTAGTGTAGAGGGATGTGCAACGCTTAATCAGTAACGTCTACCATTACACTAACGAATGTGTAAATATGTATATAGAATATAAAAGAACAAAATAGAATTTGATTGCATCGGAACGCCCTTTTAGGGCGGCCATATACAATATGTAAAGATGAAAAAGTTATACACGGGCATCAATTTACAGACAGACAATACAAACGATACATACAGTATACATAATATAGAAAATAAAAACAGGACAAAAAAAACCCAAAACAACATGCGGGCATTAAAGGGGAAGACCAACGATTTTCAACAAGGTTTCCATAAACCTTAAATATATATTGATAAATAATCCCCTCTGTAGCACAAGCAAAAAAGTTTTTGTAAGTTAGAAATTAATTTTTATTAAAACAGGAAGTGACATAGTTGGTTCAACACGCTGACTGGGCTCTATAGTAAGCATACAGATTTGGCATAAGTTTACTACTGTATTGTGTTCACGCATCGCCGTTTGGCCGAAAATCTGATAAAATGGGCTGTTTATTAGGATATCATAAACACGAATTTATGATTTATTAACGTTTAGTACACAAAGCTGTCGTGTAAATTCACTCATACTGAACAGTAGGCTGTGTCTCAATTCACGCCACATGGCTAATTGTTTATATCACGTGGTTTGATTGACAGCTTGCAAGTGACACGTGTTTCGTCTGCTTCGATGTTTTTTTTATGCTTGCTGACAGCGTTTTTCAACATAAACAGATCAAAATTACGGGCATGTGAGACATATAATATATAGTGCATTTTGGCACATAATGTCGACGTGAACGGCTTTTCCTTTTTTCTTCCATTTCCTCTTGAGAATGGCTGGGCTCGAATGTTTTTACGGCATTACTGTAGACCACCCATAGACGATTTATATTCCAATACGATGGTGTCTGACGTTGACATACTTTGGAATTTTATATATTTATTTGAATATATATGTGCCACAAGTCCGTTAAAATAAATAAAGACACTGTCAGCAGATTCAGCACGCACATAAAAATTCACGCAGACGAAATATCTCTCACTTGCAAGCTGTCAATCAAACCACGTGATCTAAACAATTAGCCATGTGGCGTGAATTGAGGCACAGCGTACAGTTTAGTATGAGTGAATTTACGCGACGGCTTTGTGTACTAAACGTTAAAAATACATAAATTCGTGTTTATGATATCCTAATAAACAACCGATTTGATCAGATTTTTGGCCAAAGGACGACGCGTGAACACAATACAGCAGTAAACTTGTGTCAAATCTGTATGCTTATTATAGAGCCCAGTCAGCGTGTTGAACCAACTATGTCACTTCCGGTTTTAATAAAAATTAATTTCTCGCTTACAAAAAGTTTTTTGTTTGTGTTACAGAGGGGATTATTTATCAATACATATTTAAGATTTATGGAAACCTTGTTGAAAATCGTTGGTCTTCCCCTTTAAATAGATACGGGTAATATAATCAATATTATGTAGACATATAAATCACAAATTCTGCAACACTGATCGGGGCAATGATGCTTGATGGATTGAAGAGATTATTAAAACACAAAGTTTGATCAGTAATGTTGGATATATATATATATATATATATATATATTGTGTTCGCAAATCTTCATAATTTTCGCATTCCATAAGAAAATACTATTCTGATTCAGTTTTATTTGTACCGCGGGAGAACAAACCGTCGAATCGAAGCGGTTGGAAATAGCCGACGGTTACCGATTGGGGTCAAGGACGTTGAATGATAGCGATAGGCCGACCAAATATTTTTATCTTACTTTTGCGTGAAAAAAGTTGAATGATAGCGATAGGCCGACAAATATTTTTATTTTGCTTTTTACTTTTACTTTTGTTTTACATTTCAAATTACTTTTAAAAATGATTTTAGTTTTCATTTGTGTTTTGATTTTAATTTACATTTTGGTTTTACTTTTATTTTTATTTTTGCTTTTGATTTAATTTTTAGTTTTGATTTAACTTTTGCTTTTAGTTGAACTTTTCAAATTACTTTTAAAAATGATTTTAGTTTTCATTTGTGTTTTATTTACATTTTGGTTTTACTTTTACTTTTAATTTTGCTTTTGATTTAATTTTTAGTTTTGATTTAACTTTTGCTTTTGGTTGAACTTTTGCTTTTAATTTACTTTTTATTTTGATTTTGTTTTTCATTTTCATTTTCATTTCATTTTATTTAGGTTTTTAAAGAAATTTTGTTAAATCCTGAATGATAACGATAGGCCACCATACATTACACTTTCAATTAACCATACCGTTTATTGGTAGTGGACGTACGCAATGGGATTAAGGGACTAGTTCGTCAAGCAACAATATTTTTAGTTACTACCCAAGCGAGATACGCGTTTACAATATTACGTTTTATATAAACTGGAAAATTATAAGATTGACGTTTATAATATAATATATACATTAGATGACAATAGAAATATAGTGGGCAAAATGCATAATTATGAAATATGACATATTATAAGATAGAGCTTTAGAATTTTATATACACTTTGATTTGCAACAAAAATATAATATACATAATTATGGATAATATATGAAATATGTTGGGTTATAAGATAGAGGTTTAGAATATTATATACACTTTGAATGACAATAGAAGTATAATATACATGATTATGAAATATATATGAAATATGACATATTATAAGATAGACGTTAAGAATATTATATACACTTTGAATGACAAAAGAAGTATAATATATATAATTATGAAATATAAATGAGATATATGGGTTATATTAAGATACATTTTTAGAAAATTATATATACAGTATATACATTTTCAGTAACGATAGAAGTACAATAGAAGAACAATATTATTTTTAAAACAATAACAGATATAAACTTATGTAGGAATTGACATATATATTAGCAGGAATTAGCATAAACAGCAAACTCATCTAGATATTCACCAACTGCATCAAAACAAAATTTTAACTGCTCCTGAAATGTACATATAATCATTAACAACATTAAACCTGGTATATAGTTATATTGGCAATGTGTGTGATCATTATACAGATCATACAGAAGAAGTGGTTAAATAGGTTTTTTATACCATGCTCAATTGAACAATCCACAGTAAAAGAACAAACAGTACTAATTTAATTTAAAAACGTGTCAATAGATAATTGACCACATAATAGGCGGACATAATTAGACCGATATTAGCAACAGTATTTATTGGTCTAATGAAACATGTAATTAGATAATTGAGCACATGAAGAAGAATAAACGGGCATAAATATACCAATATTGGTAACAACATTATTTCTTATTGGTACAATAACACAGAATATCAATAGAAGCCAATATATATTGTAATTGACTATAATTAAGTACTTTAAATTAAAATAGATCGATTTAAATAAAAGCACTGTTGAAAGTTTACAATCTCGACTACATTGATGACTATTCCATCTCTGCTAGCAAATTCTAACAAAGGTCTAATATCTCTGACTTGTATTTTCCAGAAATAAATTTTGCCGCAGAACAGAAGCAGAACACAACCATTATAAGTCAAACTGACATCTGGTCTTTCACAATGATTTATAATACTTACAAAAGACGTGATAATCTGAGGTCTAGAAACTCGTAGTTGAACTAAAGTCTGTAAAATACTGACATCTTGTTCTATAGTTAATCTTTCTAATATAGCTGCTAGAACACAGAATACACCCGATTTCTCTACACCGTTGCTACAAAGTCAAACAAAAGAATAACTGGACAACTACCTTATTGGGTTTGATAAGATAGTTGAAAATAATGAATGGTTCATAATATAGAGATCTGACTTTAAGTATAAATTCTGGCCATAAATAACAATATTATTTTCAATAACAAAGCTGATCATGTTCACATTGCTTATTACACGTAGTTTTACAATTGTTATTTAAGCAATATTTAAATATTTACCAGGAAAATGCCACAATAGAATGATACTATTCGGTAGAAATTACAATCATGTGATTATTTATATGATTCGAATAAACTGAATCACCATAGGCTTAAAGACAATGGACCATATTGTTTTACTAAAGTAAAAAAAAACTTACAAAGAAGGAACTTAAGTTCGGTCCATCTTAATGTATATTGTTTAAAAAAAAGACTTACAGACAATGAACTACGATAGACCCATCTTCATGTTCTTGAGACCATGTTTTTATATCTTCTAAGAGAATAAATATTGGCCCAGCAGACGTTGGTACCCCTCTCTGTGTATTCCAGAAATTGCACTGATAAATTTTGACTGTTCGTTGTAGGTTATCCTGATGGATTAAAACAAACAAATTATTTACAGACATAATATATGTCAACCTGTTATTAATAATCTAGAATTCCCCCAGTCTGCTCTAGTGTTGTAACTTTATATTACTGATTTACAATATTATTGTTACGTATCCAATCTGCCTTATTTTTGTAACATAAATAATGCAGTATTGATTTAAATTTATATCACCTAACGCTGATTTTAATAGAGTATAAATTTAACTTTATATTACAACACGGTTAAAAGGGAATTAAATTAAAAGTAAAAGGTCCTACGTACATATGTTTCACTTTTAATTGAACAGGTCACCACTGAATAAATTGTATTCTCATATTCCGTTTCATCTGTTTTAGTAATAGTATATTGTCCACAATTCAGTTCATCAATTCCTGGTACATATTGTCCAATATCCTGTATAATTCAAACAAGTTTATAACTAGTGGGAATATTCTTTCTCGTGTAAGCTATTATCACAGTTTCTGTCAAATTATAAAGAAATCACTTGAATAATTACTGGTAGAGATTCCAGCTACCCGACAGTGCCCTAAACATCTCCACCTTCCCAGAAACTTAGTTTAGCTAAGTGTAATAAGTTTTCATCTAGCCATTCGTATTTTGATTGATTGGCGGCCAAAAAGACTTAGAATTAATGAAAACGTATGATAATTTTACCTTTCCTGTTTCTATAATATCCATATTAACTATTGTAGTAACGTCTTGTTCTACAACCATCGTCCAGAAATCTATCACTGTATCTGGTAAGGGTGTTTGGGTCAATATATAAGCACGTTTCTTTTTGTAACTCTGTAAATAAAAGAAAATATTGTTAAGATATCCATGCAAAGCGCGGAAATACGCTCACATCGCATCTATGTTGCTGGAACGGAAGGTCGGGGAAATTGAATGAATTAGGTTCGTCCTCTCATGACCCCAACTCTTTGAACCAAATTAGAGAAATAAATCAGTTAAAATCTGTAGACTCTATTGCGTTAACAAGGTTTTTAGAAAAGTGGGAATAATCAGGAACGAAAGGTCGTGGAGTGCTGAAAATTGATAGGATTCATCCTCTCAAAATGTAGCCTTTGTCTCGTTAACGTGCCAGTGGCTTACGGATTGACCTCCAGGTATGGATGACGATATAATCCACCCTCGCTTACACGATGTCGCAAACAAATAAAAACATACCCAGTATGGGATTATAAACTACACATCGTGAAATTGTGGACATAATTGTCCGAAAATATTTCTTACCGATAGAAATAAAGCATTGATATAATCTGTGGTCTGTGGTTTTGATAAGCACAGTCGAACTTTATCGGCTGAAATAAACAAGCTAAGAGTGACGATTCTGTCCAACGCCACAATCCTAATATAAATAGATGGCACATATTAGATAATTGCACATTCCTCTTGCTGAAAAGTATTGAGTAATCAAATTGACTATTTATACTAGTGAAAGTATACACTAAGTTTTACCACTCTCTTTCTATCAGAATAAAAGTTATCTCGCTCCACAGCATCGACCAATGAAATTGCTAAGTTCTGCTTAGTTTTAGCGGAAAATGTTAATCATTGAACTCAGTCAAGATATTGACCTAATGGACATCTACATCAAGTTTAAACATTCTACCTCAATTAAAAGCAGAGTTGTTATGTTCCAAAGTCATGAAAAATCAAATTGCTAATCACTACTTAGTCTAAACGGAAACTTCATCTAACTTAGTGAAGGTATTGAAATAATGAATCTATACTCTGAGTTCCATCACTCCCACTCAATTACAACCAACGTGTTATAGCGTTTCACTGTCTTAACTAATAAAACTGTTTATTTCTGCTTACCCTTAGCGGAAAATGCGCATGGTTAAACACTGTCAAAACATTCACCTAATAAACACCTACACCAAGTTTGAACATTCTACTCCAATTAGAAGGAGGATGAGTGTGTTCCAAAGTCTCGACTAATCCGACTAAAGTCTATACTTAGCCTATTCAGGAAATAAATGCTCATCATCGAACTTAGTCAAGGTATTGGAGTTATGAAACTATACACGGAGTTTCACCAACCTCACTCAATTAGAATTAAATTCATCGAGCTCCAAAGCCTCGACCAATCACATTGGTTATCACTCTGCTTACCCTGAGTGTCCTCACTCTCACTTAATTATAACCAAAGTTATCGTGTCCCAAAATATCAACGAATAAAATTGATTAGCCTAAGCCGAAAATGCTTATCTTTAAATTCCACCAAGACATTCACCTAAAACATCTAAACCAAGAGTGAACCATCTAGCCCAATTAGAAAGAGAGTTTGTGTGTCCTTATAAAATGACAGACAGACGGGCAGGCCCATTTTAATAGTCCCCTGCTTTCTCCGAAAGGCGGGGAACAAAAATATATAAATATAAATTTAATTTATTCTATGAGATACACATACTTTTTATTCAGTCGGTAAATAAATAGGAGAGTACACTAGTATGGACATTAAATTTAGCATAGACACCACATTAATAAATATAAAAACAAGAAATCTACTAACATGCTAATATTGACAGATCTCTGTTCTTATTCTTGTTTTCTTCTGATAAAGCTACTGAACAATCGGCTGTACTTTGTGGTAGACACACATCATTAAGCATCTGAAATAAAGATTCATATTTTAAATCACAAAAATAGCTCCCTGCATAAAATTACATGAGAGTGTAGAGTTAGTCAAAAGGTATTAGAGTATTATGATGTATATTTACCTCAAATCGTTCTTGAAGCTGTGATTTACCAGACGTTTTATTGACCTTCAGTAACGCCTGATAGTCCTTTTGATATGACGTCACAGGAAATGTAATATCTCCAGCTATATACCATTCAGCTAAAGCATCATGTAGAAATACATATTGTTCCTGAAATATTTACATAGAGGTGAATTCGATTTTACCTTCAAATAATAATACTATAATATATTAAGGCATACATTAAATAAACATACCCATGCCTGGACCATGTTAACTCGTTCATATCTCATCTGTTTAACACATTCATAGATATCTACAGACCCTTCTGCTCTAGCTTCTTCTATCAGATAATCTAAACCTATAAACGTTCCCGTTCGTCCAATACCAGCACTGAAAAAAAACATAATTTCCTTTATGGTAAACCTATTTGTTTTACTGGTGATTGGTTATGAGGTGGATAAGTTATCGTCTATATCAATTATTTATAAATGTATTGATTTACCTGCAGTGTATCACCATTGGTCCAGGATGTGGTGATACCTCTTTAATCACTCTACTTCTGAATTCAAGCAATGACGCAATATCAGTAGGAACACCTTTATCAGGCCATGATGTAAAATGATATTGTTTAATGGTTCTAGATCCACATTCATCCTAGAAATTTATATAGAACTATTATATATCGGCACTTTCTACGTGTACATTGAATGTTAATAGATAGTTAAAGTCCAGGGGCCAGTAGCTCAAAGATCCGTTGACTTTTAAAGTTATCCTCAACGGAGAGAACGTCTGTTGCTGGAAGGTCCGTTAACTTTAACATGTCGTTAACTTGTCGTTATATTTAACGGAGGTGTTGGACTCCGCTTTCTGTCATAGATTACCAGTGTAATGTTAACAGACAGGAAAAGACAAGTACTAAAGGATGGAAAGCGGGGTTAAACAGTCCAAAACAGCGATGAATGAAAATGTGCGTCCATAGCCTCGTGTCTACAAGGTTTTAGGGCGGTAGATATTTTTAACGAATTAAACACTTACCTTCGAGATTTTGAGAGTTCTAATTGTGAAATGAGAAAAATTCTCTTCACTGACCAATGTCATCGAAATTTGACCAAACTTTATTTCTTCGCCACTGTCCGGCCAATACTTAAAACATTTTTCCTAGAGAATTATATTAACTATGATTAATATATTAATCTTATTAATATTATCTGCTGTCCTTACGAATACTTGGCCCATTCTAATGCATATATCTTATGTTTTCATGAACACCTGGTGCAACTTTCCATTATAGCAAATGTATCCAGGCCCTAGGGAGGAGGGTCAAAGCTTATTGAAGCCATGTTATCTGAACTTATTGCATAGAGAAATAGTAAACATATTTTGTGATGATTGAAAAAGATAATCAAATTTTATATTTTTCGAATGTTTTCTTAAAATAACGTCATTCCATATATATACATCTATATTTCAATATTGTGATATAATTTAACTAATAGCTTAGCACATACAGTTCCCAATTCAAACAGGTTGGTCAACATAACAATCTTTCCAGTCTGTGAAACCCACAATAATCGCAAAAACTCTTTAATAATAACATCATTTGGACCTGTGAAAAAGAATAAAAGTATATTAACAACTGATACGATATCAAATATCCATAACTTATACGGTATCAAATATCCATAACTTATACGTTATCAAATATCAACAACTTATAAGGTATCAAATATCAATAACTTATACGGTATCAAATATCAACAACTTATACTATACGGTGTCAAATATTCATAACTTATATGGTATCAAATATCAACAACTTATACGGTATCAATAACTTATACCTTATCAAATATCAATAACTTATACGGTATTAAATATCAATACCTTATACGGTATCAAATATCCATAACTTATACGGTATCAAATATCAATAACTTATACGGTATCACATATCCATAACTTATACGATATAAACTGTACAATTATCAGCTTTTACTAATCTTTGCCAAGTTTAGGACTTTGTGAAAAATTAAATCATGTTTTAGTTTGAAATGATCAAAAATATTTACAAAAACTTCTAACCTTGTGAAGCGATATATTTCTTTTCAGCATCACCATATCCCTGTGTAAAACATAATGTTAATATAACATAATGTTAATAAAGGAGAGCAATATGTGGCCTATTTGATCGAAACAATTAGATTCAATTGTTTACTACGTCCACTTTAATATAGAAAAAAGACCACGGGTAACTGTTAAGGGGAAAGCTTTGATTACTACTCATTGAGACCCTCATATTGAACTAAAGACACGCTTGTCTACATTATACAAATACATAAGTGTGGGTAGCCAGGCCCATTAAGCATACCTAGCTAGTAAATAACTAATAACTTACAGTTATATAACAAGCATTGATGTAATCAGAATTAGGGTCATCGTTTTCTATATCCAGTTTAACTCGTGAATGATCAACTGTCAAAAACACATTTTTAAAAAGATGATAATATACATTCCTCTTATATATTTAAATCTGTCTAATCATATATATGTTCATATTATTAATCGTATAAATGTTTTTATATCTATTGGTATATATGTATTTATTTAAAACAATAAAGTATCTAAATGTCTCATGGATATTTTACTCCATAAATATTTATCTATTAAAGAAACTTACAAGCACATATGTTTTTATATCTATTTTTAGGCTTATTAACAGCATTCATACAATAATCATATGCTGAACATAGTCCACTTGGAAGAGTCTGAAAGGGAATTAATATTGCTTATATTTAAAAGGGAGATTAGATAAAGAGCTGACAGTTCGCACTATAAAAGTTAAAAACTAGATAATGTAAAGGACATTTGCTGAAAATTTGCTGAATTTTAGGCCTCGCCTCGATCATCATTACTAAGAATGATTGGCAACTTGGCAAACATATTGGCTTCTATATGCCATATGACATATTAGGACAAACAAGTGACATCTGTGTCAATAATTGACATTCAGGTAGGAGGCGATTTACAATTGCAAGGAAACCATCGAAGCCGAAGAAAACACGATGGGGGAGAACGGTAATCGTTACTTCCCTTTGTTATGTAGATGTTTTCATGCCTGGGATAAAAATCACGACACGTGACTCTAAAGCAAACCTGACGGACATGACTAGGACAATCCATTAGATCAGCTTATGTTAGAATATACCGTCCTTAATTATTTTACTAACTTACCTGATATTCAGTTTTGAAGGTTTTTTCTTTTTTTCTGGATTTGATATATGGCAGCAGATTGGTCAATTTAACACGCGTAGACGGTTCACTTGGTTCATCAACGTTTACATAAACTTGTGTTGATCGTTCACCGACTTCTTCTTTGTTGGAAGAGCCCAATGGATTAACATATGTATTACCACTCTCAATAGGCTTCTCTTCCACTATGGACAGAAGATGATATATGAACATAGAGGTATATCAAATATGACAATAAAATAATGTATATACGTTATTTTCATTTAGTCTTTCTACGAGGTTTGGTCAAATTAGAATTTTTATTTTATTCAGTCAGGCTTTTCTATAAGGATAGACATGACATAAATTTGTTTTCCTCTAAACGAATATCGGTATTGTAACAGATTGAACTTCAGCACCAATCATTCCCAGAACACTTGAAAATAAGGACGAAACTAAAATGAAGTGAGGTTTAACGTCCTACTGGGGAAGAAAATTAGATCGTTGGCATGGTGCTATTAAAGGGACCGAATCGTGAAATGGTTAATTCCTCTGTTTCTACTAGATTAACTGTAATTGTAAGACATTCCACCGACCTTTAAGTTGTTTTTCTGAAGGTCTTGATGCATCTGTTTTAGCTTTCATTGGTATATCATTCGCCAATACTTGGTCCGATTCTCTTGATTTTTGACGCCTTTAAATCAAAACAACAACCCAAATCAATGACACGCGTATCATTGATCATTTAAAAATACAATAAAGGATGCTCTTTTATACATATATCACAATATTCCGAATATATCAACAATCTTTGTCCTTAAATCACTGATTAAATTAATGTATTTATTACGTGACAACTGTGTCTGGCTAATGTACACCTTTGTTAGAGTATTTAACACATTCCAAAATCTCAGCTTAGGTACACGTTACACGTAATGCCTCTAGCGAAATTAGAAAATAATTTTTACTTTTAATGTGTTTTATTGGTAACTTTGATGGTCCACTTACAGTGGCGTTAGATTCCACGACTGATTCAGCTTACCTTCTGCATTTTAGGACTAGAAAGATAACAACAGAAGCGATAATAATTGCAACCACAGCTGATACTACAGCAGCTATTATTGTCGTGTAATCGTCTGGTTCTTGTGGGGTTTGTACATCTAGAATCATAAATAGACATAATGTTTTGGTGAAATTGAGAGAGAGAGAGAGAGAGAGAGAGAGAGAGAGCTGACATTCGGAAACATGATACGATTCAATTTTATTTCAGTAATTCGCTTGCTCGTAGGATTTCGCGGGAGGGAATTGGAGGAACCGGCCAAAAATCCACGAGGTTGGTCAGGCGACCCTACTCCTTGTCAAGTACGAACGGGTAATCGATACCAATTACAGACCTTATAATGCAACGCGCATGCATTAGCCATTCGTTTACCCCTCCTCACCCCTAGACGACAACCCCCAATCCCTACATTCCCATATAAGGTATAATGTTAAATATTTTCTATACGATAACATTTATCCAGCGCTACAATATAATCGTGCGTTAGCTGTTAAAGTTACGGGTTAAAGGGAAACTACTATAGAATAACAAGTTCTTTTGTAATGAAACTCAAACCCAAAGCCGCCTATTTATCGATGAATGTGTTTTTGAGGTAGCTTACCTTTACAAGTTGGACCTTGGAAACCATCAACACAGCCAACAAGTCCACAACTACCAGTAATTATATCACATGGTGTTTCATCAACACAGTTACCACATTTACTGGTACAGTTTTCACCATAACGACCTGCTTCACAATCTGTAAATTCAAGACAAACATTCATAAATACCACATTTACTGATACATTTGTCACTTTAACGACATATTTCACACTATGTTAATACAAGTCAAACATTCATCGATGGATTTCACAGTTTCCCTGCTACACAATCTGTTAATACAAGGCATTCATAAATACAATATTTACTTGTACAGTCTTCCCTATCTATCAGATATATTTGTTATAATTATTACTTAGTTTTGAGATGGGGTTCGTCTGAAAAACTAAACTAGGCCACATATAACAATTGTTAGGTGGGTTAGGCTAAGCCATGCATGAAAATTGCGGAGAACTCAAGGTCACGCATGAAAATGGTGGACACTCTAGGTGGGTAAAGGGTCATTCTAGGCCACGCATACATATAATAAGACATTCTGGGTTGGTCACATCCTCGGTTACCTAGTGTACTCATTCCGTTCTACTCCACTATACCCTGGGTTAATCTATGGGGAAGACACGTTTTCAAGTTATCCGCCCTTGATGATTGTGCTATTTTTATCGACAAATCCCATAAATTGTTATTTGAAAAGGAAGTTGGCAAAGGTAAGTAACTCTCATCAGACAATGTTAGGAGTCGGCCTATTCTAAATGGGTAATTATTAACAACCAATCATATATTATGTTAATGAAGACCAGACGTTCATATATTAGTGTAGGGTCATTCGTGTTATTTAGAATCGTTCGTTCGTTCCCGGAATTCTACGTCCATGTGATATTGTAGACAAGTTATTGTGAATACTACTACTACTACTACTTGGTGTTTAACGTCTGCTTCCACATAAGTGATATCGCAGACAAGTTTATTGTGAATCAAATTGCCAAGTATAAGTTCAATAATAATAAACATAACAGAATGACATATTTCAGACAACGAACGAATAGTAATAATAATAACAAAAGTCAAACATATAGATGTTATACATATTTGAAATCAACAACACACACTACAGATACAATTAAATATAAATAAATTATAAATATATACATTATTTACATAAATCATCAGTATATGGACATGAATATGGTTATCTCCCCTTATAAAAACGAAGGCGAAACGATTGGTTTGTAAACTGTTTTCTGATTGGTTCGTAGACTGTAGCTACATTCTAGGCCAGGGCAGATAATTTGAAATCGTGGAAACCCTATGGGTATAGTGGAGTAGAACGGAATGAGTACACTGGGTAACCGAGGATGGGTTGGTCATGGATCACAATAGGTGTTACATAAGACTTGTGGGGTACTGTAGGTGGGTCATGGGTCAGACTAGGCTATTTATCAAAATTGTGGACCACATTAGGTAGGTCAAGGGTTAGGTTCTTTTTTAAAGACGGCAATTTCATCCATTTAGCACGGCATTTTCTTATTGAACTAGTAACCAAACATCCAAATGATTTTTGGAAGCATTCTTGGGAGGGTTTTCGATCTTTTAATTTATGGTCTTCAGCATTCACGGACCGTCGATAAGCCACGCTTGAAAATAATAAAGAAAAGGCGAAGAAAGTCGGAGCAGCCTAAAAGTTCATCAAATAAGATTTAGTCTCCTCCTGGTAAAAGGTCTTTCCCTACACGCATAAAAACCTGTACAAGAGATCATGACTGCATTCACTATAATACATACAAAAATTGCTTTCAATCCACATATGCACATGTTGATGACCTACTTCCGGTCTGTGTAAAGAAAGTTTACTTTTCATGTGGACTTTGTGCCTTTAGTGGTGCTTTTACGTTAAGGCCTAGGGTTTCTTCGGTATTTACTGTTGTTTTTGGCATTTAGTGATTTTCGGTATTTAGAATTGTATCGGTAAATAGTATCGAATAAATAGGTTGGTATTGTGGTATTTTTCGAATTTTGTAGTTTTGTTTCGGTATATGACACAGTCGCATAGCCCGAACATGTCGTTACCTATATATCATAGCTATTAGACGCAAACATTCCTGTATTATTCTTTACCCAATCCACCAGTCCTGTATTATTCCAATGGCTATATGAATAATATAAACATTGATTGATCTAAAAAGACGAAGATGGATTGTATAGTTGTGAGAATATTGTCATAATAATTATATTCAAACACGAGTAGAAAAGCTATATTTACCTGATGTACAGTTTAATCCTATTTTACCAGGTAAACATCCATTTATACAAGTTCGTGTCATCTGATCACATTTACCAACAGTTGTACCTACTACTGGTTTACAATTAGTATTACATAGTTTATTACATGATGATCCCCATCTTCCATCTTTACATTCAGTACAGGAGTCAGCACTACCCTGATTACAAGACGTACAATTATCATTACAGTTGATATCACATCTGTCTCCAGTTTTACCTTTAATACAAGATGTACATTTACCATCATTTCTATCACATCGACCATCACATCCTGTATTACAGCTCATATCACATTTATCGCCATGTCTTCCTACCATACAGTTAGTACATCTACCATTTCTATCACATGTGGTCGTGGTCTGGTCTGATCGTGGTTGACATTCTGCACCACATGTACGGTTACAGTATTGACCAACTGTATCAGGTTTACAGTCATTGCATCTACCATCAGATTTAGAACATCGATTGTTTAAGCAACCATCACTACAGTTCTGTTGACATTTTGTACCATAAAAACCTGTTTTACAATCTCCAGTACAAACACCAGTTGTAGGATCACATGTATTATTATAACATTTATTACATGGTTGACATGTAGAACGTGATATACTGTAGTATCCAGTATTACATCGTGCTTGATCTGTAATATAGATGATATAATATCAATAATACTTTATACTACATCTGTAATATAGATGAAACGTATATATCATCAGAACAATCATATTATTTATTGTTTTTTTTATATATATTTTATATCATTTTCATTGATGCACTGTACTATCCTGTATTATTATATACACACTCATTCTATTGTGTTGTTGGTGACGTACAGTTGTTATTGCTTACCCGTTGCATTTGATGTATTTTATTACATATCATGTTTTTGAAAATACGATAAAATCATTTTCATTTCAAATTTACCTTTTACTTTACTTCAATGTGATTAAGATTTACAAATGAACACATCAAATTAAAGGTATATTTTGTTGTAAGGGGTGAAGGCTAATAGTTAACCTATATTAGGAATACTATTATTTTTCTAGGTTGTAGGTCTATTTGTTGCTGATTCAACTGTCAATTGTTATCCGACAAGTGGGTTTTAATACAATAATTTGCCTCGGCCTACGGTTGGTATCAATGTACTTATATCGTTACACATAGATCTATTGAATGAAACCTCGCTTATATGTTATTTCGATTATATATGGAGAAAAAATTCTATACATTTCATGTATTTCTGGTTGGACTTGCTGTGCTCACAATATTTTGTCATCCCACAAAACAAGTCAACATATACAATCCAATCAAATCGACCATTTTATTTTTCAGTCGAATGAAAGAGTTTTAGATATTTTAAGGAGATCATGTGTCTAAATCCAAAAGACCCGTTTTGGTGTTTAAAAAACGGATACTAGCGCTGGGTGATTTTTTGATCATTATTAAAAAATCATTTTTATGGCGCAGGCCTTCATCGAATGTATTCAGATGTGCCGTACAATATATATCATGCATGTATAGCTAAACATTTAAGAATATAATATAATAATTTAAGTAAAAGTTCTATAAAGCTGTAAACGTAAAAGCACGCATTTCAGAATTTATAGTAAATAAAAAAAAAGTAGTAAAATTTTTTTAAAAAATAGCATAATTTAATTATGAAAAACAGAAGAATTAAAAAAAAATCAATAGATCAAAATATTTTCTAAATAAAAATGTTTTTAATTATGATTTATATGTGATATAAAGGTAGAACGGCTGAGGGCAAATGAGCGTTCATTGTAAGCATTCAGTATAGCTGTTTGCAGACAATGAATAATGATCAGTCGATGAGCTCAAGGTATGAGTAGGGGGTATAGCTAACTAAAAGAGGTGATAAAAAAAACTGTACCATATGGTTTAAACATTTACAAGTTACAATAATGACCATCTGTTGAATTCTAGAAATAATGGGCAAACAGTGAAGTTGGATTAAAACAGGAATGATATTTCTATGTTTTTACTTCCGATGTTCTGCATCGCTTGCAATTCATCAGTTTTGCAATGAGTAAAGAATTATTTTGATCAAATAAAGGTGTAACAAGCGCCTGGTCAGCAGATTTTATGGATATTTTTTACTGATTTTACTGATATTCCATAGATGTTCCAAGATCTGGAAAGTTCTCTGTCAAGGACAACACCAACGTTACAGTCTGAAGATGTGGGTATTATTTCATTCTCACCTTCTAAGACAGAGAGACCTTAATCACTAAATATAATTCAGTCTTTTCATCATTCAGTTCGAGGAAATTGATTCCTATCCATTAACGAACCTCACTAATACACTTATCAATTTGTTATTTTCATGTACTGAAATCTCGAGGAAGTGAGGGTTTAAACGACAGATAAAACTGGTTGTTACCTGCGTAAAGTTGTGCGTGGTTTCCCCCTTGTCAGTGGTGCTGGACACAGTGCCTGAAGAGACAGGTGTCTAGTCGTTCGGACACATTGACATGCACATAAGAGATCTCTTGGTGTGTGCCCGTCTTAGAACAGAACAGTAAGACGTTAAACACCATTTCGTAAACCTTGCATTGCAGACCATTTTTGTCAATAATTGTCGACAATAGGGTGGTGTACATGCTAAACAAACTGATCCCCGAGGCAAACCGAAGCTCATATCTATTTTAGGCAGATGTTTTTTTTATTTATAATGATATATTGGGGATGACTGGTTAAATGAGTGGATCGAGATCTAAACTAGTAATAGTATGTAACATATAATTACTTCAGGTACCTGCAAATATTTCAACTTCACACAATGTTAAAGGCTTGTTAGGGGTTGAAACATAGACAGTTCTACCAGAAAATGATGCAGATGAAGGTTGATTACATCCAGTTACAGTATAAACAGACTGTGTTGTTGATGTTCTATCTTTATAACATGATGTAGATGATTGAGGTCCTGCTTGATTACACTGGCCACTAGAACTTGTCTTAATCTCAAATCCTCGTAATCTCCGCCACCCTGAAAATAAACAAAATAGAAAAGCAAGCATAAACTATCATTATCTTTTCAGCGATGAATTCTTGCCATTTCCCTTTTCCATTTCTATTGTATTGTATTTTTGTTATAATTATAATATTCTATTGCATATATATCTATACTTAATGTATCTAACAGTGTATTATGTTGTATTGTATTGTATTGCATTGTATTGTATATCCATCTTTAATGTATATCGGGGGTTGGATAGCCGAATGGTTAGCGGGTGCGCGCTGTTTCATTAGGTCTGTCATTGAGTCAACTGGCGTGGTTTCGATTCCCCGACTGTACGTGACAAGGAGTAGGGTCGCCTGATGAACCTCGTGAATTATTGAAACAAAATTGAACCATGTGTTAGTCCCGAAATGACCTAGTTTGTGTCGAGTGGACGTTAAATCCCACCTCTCTCTCTCTCTCTCTCTCTCTCTCTCTCTCTCTCTCTCGTGTCCCATAATGTATCTTTAAGCTGTACCATTAATGCTCACACCCACAACAAGAGACAACAAAATTTCAATCATACGCTTGCGCGTAGGGGTCTTTAGCAGTGGGGGAAAACCGGAGGACCCGGAGAAAACCCACGAGGTTTGACAGGCGACCCTACTCCTTGTCTCGTACATCCGGGGAATCGAAAGCCCGCCAGTTGACACAATGACAGACCGTATGATACAAGCGCGTGATAATCATTCGCCCCCCCCCCCCCATGGGACATTAGATAAAGAGTTGGCAGTTCTCACTATAATAGTTAAAAGTAAACAATGTAAAGGCAATTTGCTGAACATTTCAATCAAATTGATCCACTATGAACTGAGAATTAAGCGATTGAAATTTCGACCTAGGCTTGATCATCATTACTTAAGTCGGTACGATAAAAACATAGTCTCGATTATCCACTTCATGATTAAATCATGAATGACAGTTGAGCAGGAAATCGGATCATAATCCAATAAATATCGCAGGCTAGCGTTGACATCGAGAGTTGATTATGGTCTGGATAGGTTAATTACTATCTAATTAATAATTTAGATAACATTTCAGGCATAAAGAAGAACCTGCAATAGGCAGATTTATCTCTTGCATAATGTATGTTTAAGAAAAACTGTATATTATGTATAAGTAACATAAGTTATTGGTGAGATTTTATGTAAAATGTTATAACGTGTAGCATGCTAAGAAAGTAATTATTTAATTGATCGTAATAATTATGTAATTAATAAAAAATAATAGAGCTCTTCCGATTAAAGAAACAAAATTCCTACTTTGTGTTAATTCGCATTGGTACTTCATCTCCAACTCATATTCCTCAAAATTATCTATATATAATATACTCTTTAAAAAAGTAGGGGATATTGAAATACAAATACCTATGCAGGTTGTGATATGATAAATAGTCATGGACAATTGACATGCTTTGAGAGTATGTTCACGGATGAAGAACTTATCGCCCCAACAGAACCACAGAGCTGCACATGCGACACGTAATAGCGCCATACACGTGGGAGGGGTTCATTGTCAAATTTGACACTTCAAGGAAGGGTTGATGAAAACTACCGCGTGCTGGTGTATCTATCCATGTTTGCATTCCTATCGGTTCTTGCATAAGATTTACTATCTTTGCTTTAGTGTTTAATTTGATCGGGAGACGTGTTCGTCGACATCAACGTCAACTAACAACACTGCAAGAATTGGCCGTGGCACTGCAAGAGGAGTCGGTCAGATTGACCCAAATCGTGATTGGACTGTTGATTAGGAGCATGCCACGACGACTTGCTATATGTATGAGGATTGGTGGGGCAATTACTCATTATTAAGACAAAAATCAAAAACGTCCATTTTCACTTTTGACGGTGTATCTCTGTGCGAGTGAAATGGGGCCGTCAGATAAGCCTCCCATATGAACTGTTTATGTTCATGTGTAGGCAATTGGCCTGTTATTAACATACACTGGTTACCTCTAATAAAAACAGCAGTGCATTTCCGCAGTTTTGTATTGCTTCTGAATATCCCCTACTTTTTTTGAAGAGTATATATTGCTATAAGTCTAAAGATCTACTTACACGACCGGTTCTTTCTGTTATATATTTTAATTTGGTTAAACTTATACAACTGTTGTAAATCAACACACCACCAACCAGACCCGAGCTCTTCCCGTGTATGAGTACACGATTTACCTTTATCAAAATCACTATTAGTATTACCATCTACGGCTCTAGAAGCAACACCACCATATTTTGTAGAACTCTGTTGTACTAATTGTTGATGGAGAGCAACATTGTCTGTTTGAAAAGAATTTTGTTGGTTTAGCTGTACAAATAGGTAGAATAATAATATATTAAGTGTTGGGGAACGACCAAGCAGTATGTTCAGTAATCTCCCTTTAGTCCAGGCATTTTAACTCAATTTTGCGCCATTCCAGTCGGTTGCTGCAATAGAAATGCCGACTACGGTTTATAGTTGGTCTAGACGCATATTATCACCAAAATAAAGCCCCTGTCCAAAATATGTGCCCAAATGGCCGCCAGTTTTGACTGGTAAATGCCAAATTTTATCCATTTATCATAATATGATTGAGTTTGGTATGGAAATATATCCTTTCGAGAAAGCTGAATCCATTTCCATACACATTTTGGGTATTATAAATTAGTTATACCGCGAAGTTAATAGTGTGAAATAATTCCAGATGGCGGTCAGTTTTGGCGGGAAAATTCGAATTTTTCGAAACGACCACATTTGGTGTTAAAATATACGTTTTGGAGGCAGCTGATTCCATTTTCGACACATTTTGTCAACTTAATTAACATTTTCCCCTGGGTGAAAATATGTTGAAATCCCAATGGAGATTTGGGGATTAAGAGTAGTCGAGTCTCACTTAGATCTAAAACGATGGGATACATCAAGCATCAGCTACATTTCGTTTAGACTCGCTGGCCGACCACTGCTCCTTACGGAAGCAGCGTAGCGGGCATGGCGAAAGGGGTCATTCTCAGCCTACTGTGGACTCAGCGTCGTGGACTTGTCCGATTTCGATCTCCATGGCCAAACCTATTGAAGCACATGGTGAATTTATTTCACAAAATGATTCAAATGTTGAGACACAGATGGATACAGTATTGCCTGTTTTACATATATGTAGTGAACCATTTGATAATGAACTGCTCACCATAATTCCGAAAATGACGAAAAGATAACGGGTATTGGAGGCCGACAATAATTAGCGAATTAAGATCCATGGCCTAAGTTCAATGATGAGCGGAGATACCAATTTCAATGGCAGCGAATTTAGGACAGAGTAAAACTTGGTGGAAAGTCATGATTAAGTTTGACATTCAGCCATGGTCGTGCTAGGGCCCCGAATAAGGGTAGGCAGGCCAACGTAGGCAGGCCAACGTTAGGGCATTTTAGGAGGGGGAGGCAGGATCGGGAAAATTTGAGTTATGTGGCACCTGGTAGCAGCGATTTGACGTCTATGTGAGCCACGACATACATTGACACTGGTTAAGGGATTATGATTAAGTCCTAAGAATCTGAATATGAACATAGTTAGCTGCAATCAAGAACTAAACGACCTGTGAGTAAAGAAAAAAAAAACAAGCATTAAAACGGACTGGTATTCCCTACAAAGGGTACCTGCCAAGTTTCATTAGCTTCTGTTCCCTAAACGAGATAATCAAGAGACACTTTAAGCCAGGCCAGGGAAGTTACTGGTGACAGATTAAATGCCAATAGAGTCCGTGGTGACGGGTAGCGTATTGGTCTTGAGTATGTTAACCGGCAAAATCGTTCCCGTCGCCCGTATGGCAATTTTCCTAAATTCATTTAGATAAATCAATAAAACTAGACAGGGTCTTGTATGGGGCCCTTACATCATCAATGAAAAAGAACATATTTTGTAGTACATTGAGTGTGATTGGTTTGTAGTATCTCTGGATTTTGTTAGAACAAAGAAAGGTCAGCAGAAGAAGGGGGCACATTGTTTTCATTAAGGTGGGCATTTCCTTGGGTATTTAAGGCAACTGTCGAAATTCGAGGGCACATTTTCGGAAAAGAGAGCACATCTCATCGGATTAGAGCGTTATCAACCATTTCCGGTTTCTTTTGTTTCATTTATGAGGGCGAGTAGGCGATTGACTACGTGCCCAGCACGCCATTGCAACGAGACTTGTTGCTTAGGTTACACAGAGTGATGAACAATTTCAATGCTAGATGCTTTATAAATATGTTAGATGTGCAAGTAATTAATGAGTGTCGTCTATTTAGGGACACCAGCCTCAATGTTGATTTGTTAAACACAACTACATTAAATCCAGTCGTCATTTGTCCTGTCTTGGTTGGCATGTCCAAAAAATAGGTGTTGCGAGTTCTACAGTTTACTGTTGTAATGAACCCTCTGCTAGTCTTTCCTACAGATCATGTAAACGACAACGGTCCGCAAACATGAATTTTGGCACCGCGGACCGTCTAGACCTTGATACAGACTCCTCCACTTCAATAGCGTTACAACGTTGAGCATTAACGATGGGCTGTTCATTGTTAAATAGTTCACTGCATATCTGACAAACAGGCGATACTGTATCCACCTGTGTCTCAACATTTGAATCATTTTGTGAAATAAATTCGCCACGTGCTAAAAAAGGCACGACCAGCTTCCGTAGTGTTCTGGGAGTAGCCCCAGTCGACATACTACTGTAACGCCGCTGCTGCAGTGAGCTGGGAGGCACGCCAAATGAAATTTAGTTGATACTGGATGAATGCCATTGTACAAGATCTAAGGTAGGAGTACCATTAATCTCCAATCCTCAATCGGAAATCTAAATCCCTAATTGAAATTCCTCCTATATTGACACAGGGGATTACTTAATCACTAAAGTATGTAAAAAAAACGGGGATTCAGGTACCTCGAAATCGTATATTTTGACACCAAACTTGTGTAAAATTGGAATATTTCACGCCAATTATGACTCCGCGGTAACACTTATCAAACAAATGTGTATGGAAATGAATCAGTTACGTCAAAAACATATATT